TCTCTCTCTCTCTCTCTTCTCTCTCTCTCTCTCTCTCTCTCTCTCCCCCCTCCCTCTCTCTCTTTCTATATATTCACCGCACATATTCCATTCTTTTCCCCCCATCCCCCCGTTTACTCGTAAATCGTTCTTCGAACTTCCGGGTTTTCAGGGTACTTTAGAGCTCGCTCGAATCAAATTTAAGATCGATTACAAATTTTCTCGGCGTGCCGTTACGTGACGCAATTTTGTCCTGACGGCTTTCCGTGGACCGTATAGAAAATCGAAAGCGCGCGCCGGGAGGGTGAGAGGGTGCATGAACTTAATCGCGGCGGCGGGCCCACCCTCATCTTCGACCCCGTTCGATATCTTAACTACTTCGCCCCGGCACGACCTGACCCCCCCCCCTCCCCTCCCCCGATTTAGCCGACCGCGCGCGACACACCGCACCACCGCCCCCTCTCCCCGTCCTACTAACTTACGAGCCCCCCCATCCTATCATCCCCGACGCCATTTGGACCGGCAACTTCGCGATGAGATGCATGGAAATCGAGTCGAGGCTTTAATAACACCGATAGCTGATAGCAACCCCGATCGAACGCGAAAGAACTGCCAACTTTTCGACGTCTTAAAAAAGGAGTCCTCCCTATCTCTTAAGGGATCCCATTCCTCCTTCTCGTATCTATTCCCCCATTCCCCTTTACCGTAGGATAAACGACTGCTATGATGGAATCTTCGAAAGTTGGTCATCTGTCGACGTTCGTAACGTAGAACGTGGCTTTTCATTTCGTTGGATTTCTCCATGGGTTCTCATATTTCTTAATTTTACTTATACGGCAATCTTGGAAATAGAATCTCGGTTCTGCTTTCACTATATTTGTACTACTACATTGTAACGAATTATTTCACAGGAAAGAAACAATTTTGCTGTCTATTTAAAAATTTGGCCAGATTAAAAATTAATTTTGTAGAACGTTTAAACACGATGATAATACTATAAAATCTTTTTATAGTATCTTAGCTAACTAACTTTTTATATCCTAGCAAATTCTTTCTACATGTTCTAATTATTTCGATGGTATAACAAAATTATTTTTTTACATTTATATTCGGCAAAACTGTTCCTTTTGTACTATATATTAAAATGTTCTGTCATATCTAATTTAATCATTTCCTAATAAGAAGTAAGACGCGAGGCGAGAGATGTAGGTCGAATTAGAAACTCATATCTTATGGAAGTTTCCAAAATTGATTGACGTCGATTAATGTCAACGAAATTAATATCGGCTATCGGCACGACTGAGCGAGAATCGTTCCTTTATCAAAGCGGGAGCATGTAACAACGACTCGCAGAATCACACAATAATCGCGATGCGAATCAGAATTCTCATTTCGCGGTCGCTTCGCCGCGCATTCGATTTAATTGTTCGATATACGCGAGAAATGATTAAAACACCGTAAAACCGCCAAGCTGAAATATCGAATTCACGGAATACACGCACACACAGGCGTCTGCTCGATTTTCCATAAGGTCGCTGGATCGGCCGAGAACGGAATTGCATCACGTAACCGCTCCCTTGATATTGCACCGCACACCCCACGGATTCGATTAATTTTTTACGATCGTCCAATCAGTGGGATGGACGAAACCGCTTGAATTAACCGTTCTATTAGAAGCTTTTTGGTCTGGGACCGATCGTGGAACATGATAATGTCTTACGGTAAGTCATATCATCGATTGCAAACTACCTGCTTATTAGACGATTGAAACACTTTATTCTTATACGATATATCGCG